CTGATTAAATTAAAAAAAAAGATGATACATCAACACTATCAATTCCCTTTACAATCTTAAACACCTCAATCAGATCCCCCTAACTCTTCTTTATTCAAGAGAAAACAATTTGAGATTTTAGCCTCTTGTTGTATGACAACCCCTCCATCCCAGGCACCATTCTAGTAACCCTTTTCTGAACCCTTTCAAACAATTCAATGTCCTTCCTAAGGTAAGGAGCACAAGACTGAACACAGTATTCCAAATGTAGCCTAACCAGTGACCTGTACAATGAAAGTATAACCTCTTTAAGCTTATATTCAATATTTCTATAGATACAACCTAAAATCTTTTTTGCCTTACCACTAGCAACAACACACTACTTGGATGGCTTTAGAGACTGATTGACTATTACACCAAGATCCATTTCCTTCATAACACTATTAAGGTTATTCAAATTCAAATTATGATAACCCACATGAATTATCTTGCATTTATTATAATTAAAACCCATCTGCCATTTATTTGCCCAACACACTAAATAATCTAAATCCTTTTGTAAATCAGCAGCATCCTCTTCACAGCTAGCAACACCCAAGACCTTAATATCATCTGCAAATTTAAGTAATTTATTGACTATTCCTTCATCTATGTCATTTATGTAAATCAAAATGAGCCAAGGTCCTAAGACTGATCCATGAGGTACCCCACGTGTGGCATTAATCCAGTTTGATTGAACTCCATTTGTAACAACCCTCTGCTTTCTTCCATCCAGCCACTCTTCTATCCAATTTACTAACTTATTCCCCATACCTATAGAGCTAATTTTTGACAACCCTTTTATATGGCACCTTGTCAACTGCTTTCTGAAAATCCAGATACACCAAATCTACACCCTTACCCTCATCTACATAAGCAGTAACCTTTTCAAAGAATGTTAAAAGATTTGTAAGGCAAGGTTTTCCTTTTGTGAAACCATGTTGACTATCCAGTAAAATTCTAAACTTTGTTAAATGACTGCAAAGCATCATTTAACAGACTTTCCAAAACTTTTCCCACAACTGATGGCTCTATAATTACTGGGACAAGTTTTATCCCATCCCTTGTAAAGAAGAGTTACATTAGCTAACTTCCAATCCTCTGGTTCCTGTCCAGTATTCAAGGGCTGACAAAAAATAGTAGCAAGTGGCTCAAATATCCAATCTTTAACCTCATTCAAAACCCTTGGGGAAATATTGTCTGGTCCAGGAGCCTTATCATTTTTTAAACTTCCCAATCACAGGCCATGAGAGAAAACTGGTGTATATCATCAACTGCAGATGGTTTTATGTAAAAAATAAATGACCTCTAGCTTGTTATTGCTGAAATAATAAATCACCAAAGCTGTATTTGGACAGTGGGCAGGTAGAATAATTAAATTAAATCAAACTTTAAAAATAAATTAAAACGAACAAGGTGTGTATAGAGACCTATAATGACCCTCTAACTACCATCAATATAAACAGTGATATGAAACTGTGCAAGATAGTAATTTAATTTAAAAAGAGCAAAAATCTGTATGAACATCTTTATAGTTTTAAGTCATATAATACAATAGGAAATTAATAAGATGTATTGTCAAACATACCAGAAATTATTATTCTTTCCAAATCAAAGTGAAAAGAAGAATGGCTGAAATTAGTCTGTAGACACGAAGGTGTTAAACATTTGTAGTGTTCTTTAAAAATTGTTAATCCCATCATTGGTTTCATTTATTTTTCACTTTGTTTTGTGATCTGATTGCTGTGAACACTTTCTTTTCACCAGGTTTACCTTTTTTTTTATACGTGATATTTTTATTTTTTATTTAAAAGTGTGTGTATCTAGTATTTATTTAGTTTTGTGTTAACTATAGTGTTTTTTATTCCCTGTCCCCTGCTTCTTTCCCACCGTTATTGTTGTCACTTGAATTTATCACTTAATCCTTATGAACAACACTTAGACATCATCTGGTGATGAATCTATGTTCAAAATGTTGTCAATATAACATTTTTTTGGTGTGTGTGTGGGCTTAGAGGCAAAATATTACTACTAAAAAGTCTGGTCTGAGATCACTGTGCTTTCTTTGATGCTTACGCTAAATGTGAAGCTCCTTTTAATTGGCAAATAAAACATTGTTTGAAGCCAAAGGTATTTGAAAACCTTGGAAATGTGTGAACTCCTTAAATGTAATGGTGAACAGTTGAAAAGGATTAGCATAGAGGTAGACTTTAAATCTTATGCTATCTGCCTTAATGGTGTGCACTTTTAATCCATTTGTTTAAAATTACATGTAATAAACATTATGTTTTCATCAGACATTATGCTCATGTTTGAAATCATTTAGATGGAGTCTAAATTAGACAGACAGAGACATGAACTGATGAAAATTGGGGAGAACAGGTATAAGACAAAATTTTTAGTAATTAATGAAACATATTACAGATGTATTAAGTGTCACAGATTTTGAAATTTTTTCGGTCTCAAATTATGCTATACAAAACAAAGGAGAAGAAATTGTAAGACCATGAAATTTCAGACATATAAAATATTAGTTAAAACCTATGTACTTTTGCCTACATTTCCATCGCAGGCAAATAAAGTAACTATATCTGCCTTTTAAAAGACTAAGTCTGTAACTGATTGGTCAGTAATTTGCACTAGTGTAAACTGGTTTCTACAAGTATTGCTGCAATATTTTATGAAATAACCAGTTTGTACTTAATCATTGCAATTATAAATGCTTGTGTGTACTGTCTGTCCATATATCTCATGAAATGACCACTTGTATGTTATCTGGTCTACAATTTTGATCATTGGAACATGAGTTTAGTGCCCCAGAATGGCTTAAAATGCATCAGAAATTTATCTTTAATTTCTACCAGAATGTTCAATCAATCAACTAGTATCTGAAATGATTGGAAGAGCTAACAAGTTTCATATTAATGAGTTATTTAATACTGTCTTTGTATTCCCCCCAGAAAAGAAAACTTTAGTCTTGCATCAAGAAAGCTGCCTGTTATTATACTGTGGTCATTGAGACAGTCAAAAGCTATTTTGTCAATACCTGAAACTTGTGTAATACTCTATGTTGTTATCTATGTATATATTGGATGTTATCATAAATACATATAAAACTGTGCTCCTCATTATCAACATACTGCCAATTAGATTTTTACAAAGTGTTTTGTTGTTGTTGTTGTAACCTCAGCCAGCAGAGCTTTCTTCATTAGTGAATTTTCCTTTTAGAAACATCATACTGATAACTTCTTTAAATTGTTAAAATCCAGTGCTTATAAAGTAGTGAGGTTTGGGTTCCAAATTTAAAAAAATCAAATTTTGAAGAGATGGGACAAAAATTATGTGTTGTGAATTGAACAGCTGAATGAGATGGAGACACAGATCAAATGTGGAAAAACTTTAAAAATAAATTATTAAATATTCAAGATAGGTATGTTCCTTATAGACAAAAAAATGGCGGCTGCAAGTAAAAGACCAGGTTAGCTCACAAGGGGTATAAAGGATAGAATTAAAAAAAAAGTATAATAAATATGTTTAAATTCACTGCAATGATGAGAGAATTTATCAAACAGAAAATTAGGAAATCAAAAAACTATATGATAAAAGGTTGGCTGAAAATATGAAAATAAATAGTAAGGATTTTTTCAAATGCATTAACCGTAAACAATGTGTTATGACGGTTGTAGGGCCTTTGAGGGATGATACAGGAAGGCTAATATCTGATGATTATGGGACAGCTGGGTTGTTAAATTTTAATTTTTCTTCAATTTTTACTAATGAAGATTTAAACAGTATTCCTCATATTAACAGTTGCTAGATGGAAACAAGGTTGAACAATATGATTGCATTAATTCTGAGCTTGTTAAGAAACAATTGGGAAGTTTAAACAACAATAAGTTACCTAGGCCAGATAATATTTCCCCAAGGGTTTTGAAGGAGGTTAAGGATTGGAAATGTGAACCACTTACTATTAATTTCTCTAAGTCCTTGAATAGGAACAGGTGCCAGGAGATTGGAAGTCAGCTAACGTTACTCCTCTTTTCAAGGGAGGTGATAAAAATTGTCTTGGTAATTATAGGTCTGTTAGTCTTACTTCATTGGTGGGAAAAGTATTTTAAAATCTAATAAAATATGCTTTCCAAAGTCATTTACCAAAGTTTAAAAATGTTTTGGATAGTCAGTATGGTTTCACTAGGAGAAAATCTTGCCTTACTAATATTCTGACATTCTTTGAAGAGGTTGCTGCTTATGTAGATGAGGATACAGATGTGGATGTGGTGTATCTGGATTTTCAGAAAGTGTTTTACAAGGTGCCACATAAGAGGCTGGTTAAAAACGTTTTCTCTGTAAGTTTGGGAGATAGATTGGTTCATTGGATAGTAAACTGGTTAGATGGAAGAAAACAGGTGGTTGTTATAAATGGAGTTCAGTCAAAGTGGATTAATGTCATGAGTGTGGGTACCTCAGTGCTCAGTGTTAGGACATTTGCTCTTTTTGATTTACATCTGTGGCATAGATGAAAGAATGACCAACAGATTATTTAAGTTGAAATAAGTTATAACATCACTGTATATGTTATTGGTTAAGCCACATTTGGAATATTGTGTTAATTCCTGGGCTCCTTAGCTCAGAAATTAGATTCAATTGTTGGAAAGGATTCAGAGGAGGGCTATTAGGATGATATCTGGGATGGAAATGTTATCATATGAGAATAGGTTAAGATCTCTGAACTTGTTGAAAAAATGAAGAATTAGAGGGGATCAGATTGAGGTATTTAAGACAGTTTAAGGAGTCGATAAAGTTGATGCATTAACTTTTTCATACTTAATAGTGAGAATGGTAAAACAAAGGGCAGAATTGTAAACATGGCAGGGAAGAAGTCATCTTCAGCTAAGAGACAACTTTGTTTTTCTAACAGGTAGTTCGCCTCTGGCATGAGTTGCCTTTAGATGTGGTGGATGCAGTTAACTTAAGAGAGCTTATGGGAAAACTTGGTAAATATTTAAATGATAAGGGCTGGTTTTAAGGTTTTCTATTACCCTCACCAGGGTTTTGCAGTTAGGTGTGTGTCTGTCTTTCTGTGTGCATATCTCAGAAACTAATAGATGTACACAAAAAGTTTACACAAGATGGAAAGTCAGTATGGACAGTCCTTGCTAAATTTGGTTCTGATCCAGGTTCTGGATCACTTTGAATTATTTTTTATAATGGGGAGATAGGGCATTTTAGCAGTTTTGGGTTAATAACTCTGTAAAGTGTGATCAAATTTATACGAAATTTCATGGGCACATCAAGGTGGAGTCTTCTCAGCACACTACAAAAAATGATCCAAATCATTGATCATTCTGGGTCTGAGAAGGATTTTCTGAGTTTTCGAAGGTGAAATTTGACATTATCCAATATGAATGCATGCAATCTCTCTTATTGCTGTTGTTTAGGGGTTTAGTTTAATTTAGTGGATTAGACAACCTAGTTGGACCCTCGTGAGCAGCAGGGCGAGGGTATGCAATCTCTCTTATTGCTGTTGTTTAGGGTTTAGTTTAATTTAGTGGATTAGACAGCCTAGATGGACCCTCGTCCTTTAATGTTATGGTATGTTAAAGGAACAAACAGCTAAGGATGGTCATGTTATCTTGCCACACTTTTCTTCATCCACTGTACCATTGTTCTTTATAGTATCAGTCTATGTGCAATTACTATTAGACTTTATATCCACCAAATAAAAGAGGTATCAGTATACTTTTAGCCATAGTTCCTTGAAAAGATTTTTTTTTGATAAATGTATAAACTCTCTATCTTTAATTTTGTTCTTTATGTGCAGTAGTGTATTATGTTTGGAAAATGTTCTGATTGTGTTATATGTGCAGTACCAAGTATATTTTATGTTAGACATTTGAAACCTATATAATTTTGATATTTTTACTGTTTGCTGTAAATATTAAAATTAAATTTTTTCAAGGGTATAGCAGTGTTATGCAGTACTATTGAAGACTGTTGGGATCATGATGCAGAAGCAAGACTTTCAGCCAGCTGTGTGCAAGAAAGGATAAAATTACTGTACAAATCTCTTACCCCAAACTCAGGCTCCGATTATCATATAACAGCTGGTCAGTTCTTGACTTTTCTTTGGAAATTTTAGCTGCTTAGTGATACAATAAGATGATAGTGAAAAAAAATGACAGGTGGACTTATCATTTTCAAGGTAGAATTGGAATGATGAAATTGAGTATAAAAGTACAATCGTACACACTGTTTGAAATAAGTCTGGTTAGCCACATGTGGTTTAAAGAGGAAGTAAGTCTGATTAGCCACATGTTTGATAAAGAAGAAGTAAGTCTGGTTAGCTACAATGTGGGATAAAGAGAAAGTAAGTCTGGTTAGCTACATGTGGTTTAAAGAGGAAGTAAGTCTAATTAGCCACATGTTGGATAAAGAGGAAGCAAGTCTGGTTAGCCACATGTTTGATAAAGGGGAAGTAAGTCTGGTTAGCTACAATGTGGGATAAAGAGAAAGTAAGTCTGGTTAGCTACAATGTGGGATAAAGAGAAAGTAAGTCTGGTTAGCTACAATGTGGGATAAAGAGAAAGTAAGTCTGTAAGATACATGTGGTATAAAGAGGAAGTAAGTCTGGTTAGCTACATGTGGTTTAAAGAGGAAGTAAGTCTGATTAGCCACATGTTTGATAAAGAAGAAGTAAGTCTGGTTAGCTACAATGTGGGATAAAGAGAAAGTAAGTCTGGTTAGCTACATGTGGTTTAAAGAGGAAGTAAGTCTAATTAGCCACATGTTGGATAAAGAGGAAGCAAGTCTGGTTAGCCACATGTTTGATAAAGGGGAAGTAAGTCTGGTTAGCTACAATGTGGGATAAAGAGAAAGTAAGTCTGGTTAGCTACAATGTGGGATAAAGAGAAAGTAAGTCTGTAAGGTACATGTGGTATAAAGAGGAAAAAAGTCTGGTTAGCCACATGTGGTATAAAGAGGAAGAAAGTCTGATTAGCCACATGTGGTATAAAGAGGAAGTAAGTCTGATTAGCCACATGTGGTATAAAGAGGAAGTAAGTCTGATTAGCCACATGTGGTATAAAGAGGAAGTAAGTCTGGTTAGCCACAATGTGAGATAAAGTTATTGTTAGCTATGTGGGTGTGGCATGTGGTACAAAGAACAATTTGAAAGTTGGAAACAGGAGTATAAAATTGTAAAAAACTATCAATATCAATTTATGTTTTATTTTGATGCATTTATTTCACATGAAACTGACACAAACAAATAATAGTTAAGACATGCAATATCTAAGTTACTCAGCTGGCAGCATGAAAATTTGGAACTGGTACCTAAACAGTTTTTAACCCTAAAATTAGGGATGGAGGTCTGTTGATTTTTGAAACACATTGTTCTAAATATTTATGCATCAGATTTATCATTGCCCATGAGTTTATTGGCTACAGGGTTACTAATAATGTGAAACACACAAAATGAATTAAACAAATATGACATCAAAGCTGTAATTATTTCAGTTACTGTTAGGATCATCATTGCATTTTATTGGAGTGTTGTAGCAGGCAGAAGTATGAAATCAGGCAATATGAAACTATTTGTTGATCCCACAAGTAAATGCTATATAAACAACTTGACAATCTGAGGGTAACAAAAGTACTAAACTTTTTGTGATTATTTTCTATTAGGTGTTTTGTGCATTTATACAGTTAACTAGTACATTTTTAATCATTTGGCCAAGGTTATCCAGTCAGCTTAAAAATAAATTGAACCTTTCATAGACTCATATTTATCTTGTTTTAGCATTTTTTAAAGATAAAGCATATGAAATCTCCACGGATAGGTAGGAGGACTCGATAAGTTAGTACTTCTTTTGAGGTTGATGATACAGATACTAATCATAGTTATTAACTTTCTTGTTTTAGAAAAGGTTAAACCGAGTTAGAAGAAATTGCTTAATGTTTTAGTATTATAATATTTTATTGAAATAGTTACATTTTTATAATGTATATATAGTTCCAGACTGCCAAACTTTATGAACTGTAGAAGAGTCCCTGTAGAAACTGCAAAGAATATTTCTCTGTTGTATAATTGAACTATATGTGACTTATCAAATTCTACTTTTAAAACTTTAACCTGTGGTACTTTTTGTCACTAAGCTAATAACATAATTGTAGAGTTTTATGGTTTCTAACTGTTAGCAATATTTAAAGCTGTGTGTGACCAAGAATTGTTCTAACAATGCAGAAATTTAGTGATCAACCTAGTGACATATACTCTGAGGTTACAACCACATGGTGTTAGGCTATCAACACAATTAGTTTAGCTTGAGGTTGAGTATTGCAAGTTGATAAGGTTATTTGTAACTTTTGCCCTGATTTTTCTTCTGTTAATAGTTTCATTATTTTTCAAATATGTAACATATCATTGTTTAATTGAACTGAGAAAATTTACATTGAGTATTTGTATGTTAAGTTTTATGTACACACTTATGATACAGTGGAAACTTGATGTGTTATTACTTCCCACTGAGTACTTTACATGAAGTTATTGACTGCAAAGACTCATAGACTTTAAGAATGTTAAAGTTTGTAATTAATTATGGCTGTTATAATAAAACATTACTAGATTGGAAGAACCCAACTACTACCTCAGAGAAATTACCATCAATTACTTGCTCACAGTTAGTATACTGCCCTAAAGAATCCAGCATATGAAATCTCCACGGATAGGTAGGAGGACTCGAGTGTGTCTGACCAGGACTATCACCTCATCATCTATGGACCCTGTTGTGCCTTCTTCCTTGAGCAAGTACAACAAGGTTATGTCACCCATTAGTCTATAGGGTACATGTAACAAACAAGACACTTGCTGTAGGTGTAGCTTATAAGTAGATTGGGTGTATCTCTCATTGAAAGTAATACCATCATTCATGAACAATTTATAAATTGTTTGACCATTTTATGTTCCAAGTTTTTATGTTACAGTGATGAACAGCCATTTAGAAATAGTTTCATCTATACTGCAAGCCTTCCAACAGTCCCCTCAGGAAAAATATGGACTTTAGTAGAGCAGTTTTTGAAAAAATAGAGTCTTTACTTAGGAAAATAGGGATAATTTAGATTTTGTAGAGGACTTAACAACCAGCATGTTTTTATACAATTACCCACTTTGTCATAGCCATTAGCACTAGAACTACTAGACAAATGAAAAATACCTAAATTTTAAAAGTGAAAAAGTGTCAAATTGATGGCCTTGGCAGTTCTTGTGTTCAAACCTTAAGAAATGTACCAAAATGTAAATACATACATACCTCATCTCATTTTTTTTTATCAATTTGAATAGTTTTTTCCGTGTCTTTTATCATTCAAGATTAGTTTCTAGTTTTCATATACACATGTATAACACTGAATTTACTACTTCATGACTATTTTAATGAAGATATTTACTTGTAGGCTAAGCATGCTACATAAGTTCAAACATACATACAACATGCACAATGTGTAGTGGAAGTGGCAGTATTCAAAGAGAAAAGCAAGTAGTATATTAAGCTATAATCTCATGGTAGTTATCTCACCAGTGATAACTTTCAATCCTCAGAATGTTGAACACACAATACAGAAAATGCAGACTTTTACGCTGAAACTACTGAGCACTTCTAAGCAAGTAACTGATACAATATATATATCATAATTCCGTGATTAAAACGACAATTATCACATGCCTGCAGCCTTTTGTCAGTTAGAAACAACTAACAAAAAATGTAGTATCATCCACCTTTTGTAAACAGAGAACATTATTTCTTATTAAGAACATACACACATTAATTTCTAATAGTCTATAATAACACCAATGGCCACTACCTTAGATCTAACAGAACTTTACTGTTCTACATGCATGTATTTCTAGTGACATCTACACTACTCAACCCACACTTAGAACTACTTTTAAATCTTCTTGGCAAATTCCTGTTAATATTGATCAGGCATTCATTTTTTCTTATGATCTATTGGTTTTCTCTCTGCATCCATCTAATGCCTTCTGACCATCAATCATTCTCTTACGAGCTGCATGCAGTATAGTCTGGGCCATGCTTGCATCTATAAAATCTTGTTGTAACAGATTTGGACAGATGTACTTGGCACTCTGCAAACAATAATTTTGGCCCTCTCTTGTCTTCTAATAACTTTGTTTCCTTTGTAGATGGCTCTTCTATTTTTTTCTTTGAGTTTTTCATTTGTCTTTAGAGCAGCCACAACATCCTTTTTCTGTTGGTCTAATTCTTTTTTTTTCATTGTTGCTCTTTCCCTTTCCTTTGTTTCTCCTTTACCTCCTGTAGTCTTAACTTGTATGCATTTACAACATACTCATGGGCAGCAAGATGTCATTTGGTGTTTGGCAATTGGTGTAGAGTTTGGCTAGACTTGTTGTGCCTTACATCATTTTTTACAACAGTAATTCCAGTCAAAGACTTTGGGTTCAGTGAAACTCCCTCTGGAGTGGGAATATTTTTGTTGTAGGAAAGGGACCACTCCACATCAACATTTTCATGCAATTGTCATAAAGCAATACACAATTTGCATGAGATGCCCATACTCTGACTGGTTAGCCCCATTTTTTTTTATCCTAATTGTTTCTGATAATGGTCAGTGCACCTAAAAGTTACATTTTCACTGGACTCATTCAATAATCCACTTTCTTGGAACTTCCTCGTATTTAGATCTCTGTCGAACAACAATGGCCAAATTCCTTTTAGACCATGCTACTTGACATCTCTTGATCACAGATGCCAAGTGGACATGTCCTTCAGCAAGTGGCTGTCAATGGGCAAGTTCCTTAACAAATACTTCATGACTGCTACATAGTTTACTTTCATTCTTGTTATCTCCAGGTCTAATGGTGATTTGAGTGACTGATTGTACATCAACTTTTTGAAGTGTATCCCCTTTTTTGTTCATGTTAACTTCTTTCAGGCTGACTTTTATTACATCTGATTTGAGAAATTTAGCCATAATTGTCTTCACAAGCTTGGTACATTCTTTGTGCAGTAGAAGAACAACTTAAACCTCAGAATGGAAGAGTTTTATAAGGGGACTCAAATGCATTAGCAAAAAAAGAAACAAATTTGAGCTTGTGTGGTGCTACTTTGTTTTTCAGAGAAGAGCAAATTTGTCTATATTTTTCATTCTTCTTCAACCATGTGCTTTTGTTGTCCTTCAGTAATGGAAGATGCTAAAAAAAAATAACTTTTGAGTCTGAAAATGTTTGAGTACTCTTTCAACAGCTAGTCCTAAAGTTAACCATTTGGTTTAGACATGACATAATAAGAATATTTCCTCAAGATCCAACTCTGTTAGCACAGCTGTAAAGTCTTCCTGTTGACATGAGGACTACTTAAACCAATAGAATACATTTATGTAAAGTTGTTCAACTTGTAATCCATACTCCTTCAGTCCTGCTTGGAATACATTGTGATCAACATGTAAGCTACATGAAACAAATGACAGCATGCCATGGAATCCTTTGCTTTTCATGGAATCTTGAATATGATTCCAAACTGTTTTGTTAACATTTAGTCAATTGGAAGGTATGCATAAAATGTTGTTGACTGGTATCTTATTTTACCTTACAGTACACAGAAATACATCTTCCACATCGGTCCCTTTAGCATTTCAAAAGAAAGTACTTATCAGGTAACTAACTACAATTTCATTTGTCTCATGTGTTTGTTGTGTTGCTATTTCTTCAAACTTCAAAGTAAATTTTTCAAAAATGTCCTGAAAATATGGCCCCAATCCATCAGGATCAAGGTAGGATGTTGTTTTGTGGGCTATATTAAAGTCGCTGTTTACATTACCAGGGAACGTTGCTTTAAGTAGTTCTAAAATTTCATCAAGTGATGCAAAGGACCACTCTTCAAAAGAGTTTTAGATATTTTGAACTGCTCATCCATAGCAGGACTTTGAAAAACATAGGGGCATTAGTCATGGTACCAGATGAGCAAGAAGTATTAGAAAGTGTATTGCTGCTAGATTTCCTTTATACTAATCTAACATACATGCACTTGGTGTTGTATTGCTTGTGCAATTTACGTGTAGTGGTGATTGAAACAGCACTTTTAACAAGTTTTATATTTTCAGGGTAATGTAGAAAACTAAAATGCTGGATGGAAAACCACTATTCCAGTACAAATATTGAGCCACTGCTGACGATACTGGTCAAGAACTTTCTCAAGTTGGTTTCAGACTCTGCCAAATGAACAATTTCATTGCTTCTGTAGTAGTATTTGTTAAAAGACAGTAGCTTGTAATAATAATGACAAACAGCAACTCCTGAAACATGCACAGGGAGATAAACAAAGGCAAAGTTCAGTTCTAATCAGCAAAAACAGCCCTACCAAACAGGGAGTGGAAAGCTAATAATGTCTAATAAAACTATCAGGATCTAGCTATTTCAGGACATGACTGACAGACACATGCATAACTTTCACTCACATCTTGCAACTAAAGCTTATGTAAAACAGTAATCAAGACAAGAAGCACAATTTAACAAAAACTGGTGCACACGTTTCAACTTGAAAACTCATAATGAGCACTTGATTATCCCTCACATATTCTTCATTGGTATGGAGGTTATTTTCACTCTAAAATCACATACCAGAAAGCAGAGAAGACAATTTGTTACTCTTGCAAAAAAATATTGTATCTGTCTCTGATGCCACCAAGAAGCTATAACTTGTGTATAGACTACCACATTCTGAAACACTGCTATATTAAATTAATAATAGGCAGCTAGACTACACTCAAAGTATGTGTGTTTTGCAACAAATTTTTGTATTTTATGTTAAGCTAAACTAAAAATGTAGTTAGAAAATAGGAATTTTACCTAAAAATATGGGGAAAATAGGGCATGTTGGAAGGCCTAATATGGAATTACATCAGTCTTGCATCCTAGAAAAGTGACTTTAACCTCTCTTCCTTTTTTTCATGCTTATTATTAAACGGATTTATAATACATAAGGTATGCAGCAGCTGTTTTATGTGTGAAATTAAACCTTTTTTGTTTTTCGTACTGTACATTATTGATTTTTGATGAATTTATTCTAATTCATCAAGTTTACCTCAGGAAAAAAAAAATTGATGAGAGATTTTTAGTTCAATAGTATTAAAGCTTGTACTTTTATTTCTTCATAGACAAACTACCACTCTATTAAAACAAGCATTTTTAGCAAGAGATATTTAAATTAGGTTTCATATGATGAATTGAAGAATTGATCTTGAGTTCAGTATGAGTGTTTATTTTGAGAAACAATTTCCTTTCATATAGAACTGTGAAGAAACTGGAAGACACACATAATTGGGATTACTTTGTTCCATTTTATCATGTATTTTGATTTACTTTTAATCTCATTGTTTTTGTCTAAGGAATTTTGTTATGGATGAACAAAACATTTGAATCTTGGTTGTGGCTTCAAGAAAATGTTTAGCTGATAATACAACACTATTTAAGATACAGAATATTTGAAACTAGCATTTTTTGAGGTTACTTTATCTTTAAGTAATGGCAGATATATATATATGTTATGTTTTTAGTGTAAATCCTGCTTTTCTTTTAAACTGCTTTGTGGCATTGTTAATTTTATCATAAAATTACCCTCTTTTTTTCTGAAGCAAGCATTTAAATTAAGATTAAAAACCAACTGAATAATGAACACTAATAAAGAAAATTTTTTTGATAATAAACAAGTATAAAGAATTATGACTTTTTTTCTAAAGTGCATTAACACTTTGTTCTCATATAAGAAACTGATAGAATAGTTATCTTACTTTGAATTTTCAAACATTTCACTCACTTCTGATATGTCTTCCTGTGGGACAGTAGTAAGTTTACAAGACTTACAACACTAAAATCCAGGGTTCAATCCCTCGTGATGAACACAGCAGATAGCCCACTGTGGCCTTGCTCTAAAACAAACAAACAATTCTGTAAAGGAACGTCAGAGTTAAGTTTCATAGTGTTATTGCTATACGCTCAGTTTGGTTACATTTTAGAACTAACAAAGGTTTTATGGGAAATATCATTAGCTTTACCCTTATAACCATTGAACTTTTAAAACTAGTTATAATTATAGTTACACTCCTCTAAACATTGAGTTTGTAAAACTAGTTAAAATTACTTATAATCATATGCAAAAAAATTAACTCTTTTAAAAAGAAAAAAATGAAATGTTTTTGTATATTATTTGTATCTTTTTTCTCTCATTTTTTCATTTTTCTTGCAAACATTGAATGATTCAATGAAGAGAAAGTATTTTTGAGCTATGTTGGTTTTTCCAGATAGCAATGAGATGTTGGACCACTGTGATTTTGCTCATTAGGCCTATCTTGGCTCCACCGTTTGTTTAACATTGAGTCCTTATCATACTAGTTTAGTTGACTTATTGTTGGCCACAGCATTGGTTTTATGAAGGGCCAACCAATTAAACCAAAATGAAATCAGATTTCACAAGTTACGAAAATGAATTACACACAATTTCCAATCTTATTTTTGTTTTATTTGTGTGCTGTTCTACTATTTCTCCATTGTTCTAGTAGTGGTCTTCATCATCTCAGGAAGTTTATTGGGAAGCAGGAACAAGCTACTGGTACTTCCTGCAGCACCCTCCATTGTGGTCTTTGTTGTATTACATACAGCCCATGATAGCCTTCACTTCAGCTTTGGTAGCCTTCCTTGAAATTACAGTATAAGCCATGTTAGTTTTGTTCTAGTAATAAAGTCAGTGCTCAACACTTTTCCACATCTCCCAGACAGGTATTTTGTCCTATAGGACAGGTGCTCAAGATTTTGGGAACTTAAATATATATAGTTATCTTTCTGAAGACAGAATCATTTGTTAAAATTATTAAGAGAAAGTCAGTGGTTTTCTGGGACAAGTGAATACTTGGGTGGTGTAGTTAAAGATCTTCGAAATGTACCTCTCCAAATTTTTTTCTGCAAGTAGAAAAATTAAAGTTAAGTATGAAAGTATAGTGTTACCATGTCATTATGTTTAGATATTTTTATTAAATTCATGACTAAATGTACCTGATCATTTTGCAAACAATTTAATGTTATGGTTACTGTATATGTAATGTGTATCTTCCGTTATTTAAATGTATATTGTATTTTACCTTTTCGTAAGCTTTTATACTCTTTTTTTTTTTTTACCAAAACTACAACTATTACACTCATTTTGCAGAAGTGTGCCAACTGAATCAGGAAAATAAAATGACTGAATTGCAGTTAACACTATTTTAAAGTTACACCATCGTAATGAACTTATTTGAGAATTATCATCCATAAACTACATCATGTACATGCTAGATTTCATAGCTCGTGTATTAGTTGCTGACCCTTCAGTCTTTACATTAACGGATGTGACATAGTAAACAGTTAATATGTATGAATCACACATATCATATGTAGGGGAGAAATGATTCATCATATTATTAAATCATATTGTGAGATAGTATAAAGATAAACTAAAGATAGTATAAAGATAAACTTGAGATACAGTAAATATATATTTACACTATAGTCATTCATTTAAGAAAATAGCTATGAAAATATCAACTTTTTGTAATACAAATTAGATTTTTCATTAAACAGATATGGCAAATGGCATATTATGAGGAAAATATATTGTCAAACTACTAATTTTATCAAAATTACTTCATACAATGATAAATAATAAATAAACTTAGAATGTCTAAGTTCAAGGGAGATCCAGTTTAATCTACACTTTGATCAATGTGTGCTATTGGATTATTACTAGTTTTGGAGAATTCCACTCCTCATCAGTAACCCTGAACACAAATTAACCAAAGAGAGATAAGCTGGACCTATATCATAGTGAAAAGTATCAAACATTGTTGGAGTGAACGTGCTTTGTAATCACTATGAGAAAAACCTAAAAACTGGATAGTTGAAGTGAAAAAAAAGTGTCATTGGCCACTACTCAGTTCTTCACATTATATAACCGTTTGATAGCAGGTATAATTTAGCAATTTTGAAGTCTAAGTTCAAGGGAGGTCCAGTTCATAGTGACTACAAAGCATGTTCACACCAACAGTATGTTTGATACATTTCACTATGATATAGGCCCAGCTTATCACTCTTTGATTAACTTGTGTTAAGGGTTACTGATGAGGAATGGAATTCTCCAAAACTAGTATAACCCAATAACAAACGTTTCTCAAATTGAATTTAACCTCTCTTGAACTTAGACTTCAAAATTTAACAATTTTCGAAATACTAAGTTTATTTATTATATCTGCTATTATACAGCTATATAATGTGAAGAACTGAATAGTGTCCAATGACACTCTTTCTTCATTTCAACTATCCAGTGTATAGGTTTTTCTCATAGTGACTACAAAGCATGTTCACACCAACAGTATGTTCCATACAATGATATTATCAATTTCGTTTCACTTAACAGTAAACT